CTAGGGAGGTGGTGGAATCTCCATCCGTAGAGGTTTTTAAGACCCGTCTTGACAAAACCCTGGCTGGGATGATTTAGTTGGTGTTGGTCCTGCTTTGACCAGGAGGTTGGACTATAAGACCTCCCGAGGTCTCTTCCAATCCTAAACTTCTATGATTCTAAACCCAGAATACTACTGTTTTGCATTGTATAGAAATATCTGTACAGCTCAAGCTCATAAAATTCTCCCTCTTCCTCAATTTCTAGCTGGGGGGACTTCTTGCCCCCCCAGCTAGAAATTGCATAAACTGGGTTGAATAATAAACAAAACAAATTTTATTAACTATAAAAGGCAGATTTTAAGTGGGTCAAGGGATAGCAAACAGATTACTAAGCAAATGAAACAAAGCGCGCAAACTAAGTTTGACACACTAGATAGGTAGGATACAAATTAGCAAATTCTCACCCTGAGTGATAAACAGGTTGTCTTGGCTTTCCCAGGTTTTCATACACAGGCTAAAGATCTTAGCCTGGGACCATCACAGTCTTTGTTCCTCAGGTGTTTTCAGTGGTATTGTTGTAGGGAGAGTGAGGACCCTCCTGTTGTCATTGTCTCTCTTTTATATCTTCCCCCCACTTGCTGGAAAGCTTTTTTGCCGTGACCTGGGTCAAACAGTTCCCATTGTGTAGATCTGTCTCTGAGAGGTTGCTATTGCACACAGTTCCAGGGGTGATCCTTGTGCTTGTGTGAATTTCTTCAATAAGCCACTAACATTGTTTGGCCTCATCCACCATAGCACATTTGAAATACAGAGACATGGTCAATATTCCCAGCTTCAGATATAAAAATGATACATGCATACAAATTGGATAAACACATTCAGTAAATCACAACCTTTCCAATGGTACCTTACATGAGCCATCTTGCATAAAGTATATCTTAGTTATACCACATTTGTATCATAACTATATTTCCATGAAGAATATGGGGTGTGAAGTCACACCTCTTATCTCAGCAGTGGGCTAAAAGGCCTACTTTATACCTTTCCTCCCTCAGCCACTGAAAGTAAAGATAGTGAAGATTGTGAAGGAACAGGCCACAATGATTGTAAACTTCTTCTCATAAACCCGCAGGTCTTGGTTCTCAGACCTGATTCAGATATAGCTCAAACCTTCTCTCAAACTCCCAACTAATACACAAAACATAGCTCAAGAGGACCTATCCTGAACCAATATCCAGACCTGCCTAGCTCATCAGCTGGGAAGCTGAGAGGAAAGATCTATAATCACTCATGCTGAGAAGCTGATAAACACCCTCCTCACATCTGAGAGGACATTCACAGAAGATGTCTGTGGGTAACTTGAGGTTTAGATGTTGGTGTTACAAGGGACACAGATCAGGGCAAAGTCAGCTGAAGCAAAAGACAGTATAATGTTTTTACCAGATGGTTTGACCATGGGGCTCCAGGCAACACTTTTTGGAAAGGCCGGCCAGCAGAGTCAGGCATATTGCACTGTAAGAAATTCATGAGAATCTCCCATCACTGTCACACAACAGATTCCTGAGGACCACTCCTCTTATCAGTCCTCTAGCAATACACACATCCTGTCATAATCTGGATCTGTGTGTAGGATCTACAAGTCCACATAAAACTACTTGTCAGCATCACAGTTGGTAGCTGTCTTCCTCTTCTCACTGAAACGGTCTTGTCTACTCACCACCTCCTTGTCCAAGGGGCTGCAGAGGTTGGTATGCTCTCAGTTATATTTCCAAACATGGCAGTTCTGTGGACTCCCCAGGTCTCCATCTTCAAGGTCACCACAGTCTCATGCAATAGGAAATGATATTGTTGCCTTTTTGAATGAAACCAAGCACTCTAAGAATGTAGAAATGCATAAGTTAGATATGAACAGAGCCAACAGAGGAATAAAGATTTCTATAACAAAGGCATTCAAAGCCTCAGGCACAGCTCCTCTCATTACTATGCACACTGTGAAAAGAGCAGCGATTTTGTGGGCAGAGAAATCACATATATCTTATGGAAGGGCTGAAAGGCTACTACAGGGTCTTCCAGCCACCTTTTCTCAAACACTCTAGACTTGACATCCCCACCTGTGCTGATGCAGCATTTGGTAGAGGAGTGTTTTGGAGCAGGGAGCCCCCTTAAGTTCATTTTCAATTCTACATGGGTAAATATTAATCCTCCCTTCCTCCTGCCCTAGGGATGATTTACATCTTTCTACAGCCCACTGTGAAGGCTGTCTGACACAAAGGGGACTGAGAAAAGGGAAATTCTGTCTTACCACTGAATTTTCATTCTAGGACCCTCCATGTCAGACAGTCTGACCCCCCCGTGGAGGACTGCATTATATCTAGGGTTTTATTCTGGCTGTTGCTTGCTTGTTGAGTAGTTTGAACGGGAAGAGGTGTTCCTCCAGGAAATCCTTACATTTTATGTCAAGGCTCTGCTGCAAAGAGTTTGAGTTGAATAGTACTTTTATACAGTTAGTATTTTTCAGTTTTGGATGCTGTCTTTCTGGAGAGTTCTTTCGGAGGGGCCATCGTAATTCCAGCCTCAGAGCCAAAATTTGGTCTGCTTCCAGTCACCCTGGAATTGGAGAACACCCCACTGTGAAGACCATCTGACACAGAAGGTTCTAGAATGAAAATTCTCAGGTAATACAGAATTTTCCCTGTTAGTTATTTCTGCTTGATTTCTGCTACACACACATACACACACACACACACATTTTTCAGGCAAATAACAGAACTTGCCTTAAAGTGCCCTTCTGCTCAGAAAAGTGACTATATAAAAGACACCTTCCCACTCAGCAGATCTGCCCCTGTGTGTAGTCAGAGTCTTATCTGCTGATTTTACTGACTAAATTAAGCTTGACTGTTCTCACCACTGCAGAGCCAGAACATCTACGAGGGAACAGTATGGATCCTATTCCTTTGTGTACAGCATCAATAAAAAAATTGTGTACTAAGCTTCAATCTGTTGCACCTATCTAAACCCACTGAAGACAGGGGGACTGCACAAGTGTCATTGAGGTTATAATTTGTCCTGGAACAATTTTGTTACTGTGGTGATGAGGTAAAAAGGAAAACCCCAGCTTGTTTTTCAGATGCAGGCGGAGTTTTCAAGGCTGGCGGTGAGAAGAAATATTTTACTTGCAAAGTACGCACATTTTTCTGGCCATCACCAAGACACAATTAAACACAGACACACCCCTCCCCCCCATCATTATTTTTAACAAGGTGCTTTTTAGAGCACAATGGTACTTTAAAACGAACACAAACGCTCCAGCCTCGCTCATGCATTTATCTCCTTCCTGTGTCACAAATTAAAGGCCCAGTCTTGCAAAGTTACTCTCAGATGCAACGTTGTTAATTTAAATAGGACTAAGGACAGGTATAAACCTAAGTGCAGGAGTTATGATTTGCTAGATCCAGCTCCAAGAAAATATAAATATCTTTCTGGGAAATACCAGTCAAATGGCATTTTGCATTAAACGAGACACCACTGAGAGTTATGGAGAAAGTGAAGAAGTCACAGGTCTTTCTTTAAAAAAAATCAAAGAGGAAAGGAGGCCATGTTAGCAAATGGTTAAAGCAGAACTGGGTTCTGGCCTGACTAATACTGACTCTCCGTGTGAGTTCTGATTCAGTTTCCCACTTTATATAATGGAGATGGTGCTTACCCTTGTAAAATGCTTTGAGATTTTTGGATGAAAAAGCTCCATTTAGGTGCTATGTAGTAATTATCATTAATAAGAATTATAACAACATAGCAATCATTTTTAATAAATAAAGGCCTAATCCTACTAGGGATTAATTTTCAGCGTGGTCACATGTGGGAGTAAGGGTTACTCATGTAAGGCTCACCAGATCGGCTCCTATAATAATTTTTTTTAAACCTAAATATGTAAGGTGTAACAGGAATGGAACTGATATGTAATCCTGTTATGAATACTATAAGCTGTGATGTAAGAATCTAAGAATATTGATATGCAACCTAGTTACTGAGAGAGACTATGTAACTTACACTGGTGTTATAAGAATTTCTTGTGTGAATATATTGATTTAACTTAATAAAGTCTGTGGGAAGAGCAAACAGGGAAGACCATCTAGGTACACACTAGAAAGACAATGGGTTTCAGCTATTAGCATCAGAGAGCCTGTATCTTGTCTCCAACATACTGTAAACACTGTTTGCCAGGCTGGGAATTAAGGATCAAAGGAAAAGCCTCTCGGCAGGGCAGATGGTGTGGTTCACTGGTGAGCTACTGTCTACCCAGTCAGGCTGGCACAGATAGACTTTGCAGTGGGAGTGTAACAAAATTGAGCCTGTTCAGACCCAGGGGACGGTAACCATTAGGGAAACGCAGGCTTTGCAGTTTAGGCTGGTTTTTTAATTTTAGGATTTTTTTTCTGAAATGCTTTTGTTCTAAATAAATGATACTTTACTTTAAGGAAGCTGCTTGGTCACGAATTACCACAGTCATTGTCCTCAAGGGGCGGGCATGGATCGGAGTTCACGTTGCACTCCCCATCAGTACCCGGCCCAAGCTGGGGAAGCTAATGATCCAACCAGCAGACCAATATCGGTGATGAATCCTGGTCATGTGCCACCTGAGCCACGTTGCACATGAAGACGATTGTTCCCAGGCAGGGGTACTGGAAAAATTTGTACAGTGAGGGTGCTGAGAGCCATTGAACCAAACTGTAAACATTGTATATGATGGAAACCACTTCAAGCCAGGGGGTGCAGCAGCACCCATGTCCCCAAGGAAATAGTCTGAGTCCAAGGCAGATCTGCTACATTGATCGCTGCTGATACAGAGGACTGCCACTGGCCTGAGAATGAGAGAAATGCATGTTTCCACCCTAAATAAGCATGAGGCCTGACACCTAAAGTGGGGGTGGCACCTGGAGAGACCAATATGTGTCAGAAGTGCAGTAATCCTGGTAACCATTTCATAAGGTATTAGAATTCGTAACTCCATTTCTCTTTTAAGGGACATAGCTGCAAGGAACTGCCTGCTGACCTGCACTGGGACAGGACGAGTAGCCAAAATTGGTGATTTTGGAATGGCCCGAGATATATACAGGTAATGGGCACGGGTGTTCAGTTTGCTTGGAGAAAAGTAATTGAAATGACATCTCCAGAGTGTGGAGGGATCACGTGTATGTCTGAGAAATATGAGATGTCCTATGACAGCTGAGCTAAAATCACCCCAGTGGTCCCCACCTCCATTCAAAAAGTTTAGGGGTCCACAAATGAAAAGAGGTTGAAAGTCACTGAGCTAACACATTTGCACATACTAATCTGGACATTCCATGTAGGTTTGTTCCAGGCTGGGCCTTAGGGCACACCACTAATGTTTCTGGTGTCCAGACTAGCATGCACAAATGCATTCACCAATTCCAGCTCATTGGCATTCGGTGCACTTAAGTTTAAAAAATCTAGCGACAAACGCAAAGTGTCTGAAATAAACACTGCACTGTTGCCCTGCACCTTGGACAGTCATTGCACCTGTGCAAAGTGGGTGTAAAATCCATGCCAGCTCAAAATGGCTGCACTTGAGACCTGCTTCCCATTCAGTGTGCACCGGTGTAGGTGACCACACAAAGTGCAGGCAACGGGAAAACCAGGCCAGGGAATCATTCGGGAACCAGTCTCTGTGGTGGAGTTTCAATGATGGGAAAACAGGATACAAAGCCAAGCATTCATCTGGCCATCCAAATATAAGTGAATTCTTTAAGGCATCGTGCTCTTCAGGAGGCCCTGGTTCAGTTGTTAGCCTCTTCCATCACTGAACCAGAGGCCAAGCTTCTTGAACTTGTGCAAAGACCCTGTTTCGCCCAGGAACCATCTTTAAAGAATTCATTTGTCTCTTTTATCAACTCTGAGGGTTACAAAGTTCTTGCTTATCAATTCTCGCACAGAATTGTCTGGGTTTATTCTGCCCCCAATTAGGGTGGAGTGGGAAAGACTCATTATTCATCTGACCCCTTTCAGCCCCATGGAATTTGATTCTAAGCCCTTAATTCTCCTTGCATTTGATCTTCCCAGGGCAAGCTACTATCGCAAAGGAGGGAGAGCCATGCTGCCTGTCAAGTGGATGCCACCAGAGGCTTTCCTAGAGGGGATCTTCACCTCCAAGACTGATACCTGGTGACGATTACCTTTTACTCATCTCTGCAAGCCAGGGGTGGGGTTTAGGGAGTCCAATGCACATGTAGAGACGTCAGCTGGTCATCAGGAATTGAGGTCTTCTCACAGATAAAGCTTTAAACATGTCAAAGTTGCCCAAAGTCCTACAGGAGATATCAAGAAATCTTTACTTTGACTTCAATTAGAGTTTTACTAAATGGGTCCTGAGTGAGAATTTAAGAATCTGGCCCAACATAAATAGAATACATAAAAATACACAGACACACTCCTTTGGGTATGCAGCATCCCTTCACAGTATGCTACGCATAGCTACAATTTACAGACCAGGGGACAGCTGTCCCAGAGCTGGCTTCACTGCTGAGGGAAGATGCTGCTGCTGCTCTTTACCTGGCAGGGACCCCATTGGCAGAATCTGCCTGGAAGATATGCTTAATCAGTATATTTCCCATGTGTGCTGGCCCTGCTTCATCTCTGTCCAGCTTTGCCCACTTTATGGACTGCTCCAGATGGTTCTGGGCCATCTCGCAGAGCAGCTCTTGCAGCAGGTTTGCACCACTGAACCCCTGACTCCAACAGGGCTTTCCACTGCCAGGGGCTGCAGCCTGTGGAAAGAAGGAGCTGGTTGACAGCATCTCTGTCAGCCTTGCAATGCCCTAACACTATGCTAAGGTACTAGTGGTACAGCATGTCCAGGTTGCAAAAGCCGGCTGCAGGACTGCACGTTTGCAGTATGTGGCAGCAAAGTGCAGAGAGGAAGGGCTGTTTAAATGCCGGAGATTAAAGGAGTTTTAAAATCCAAACAATCAGGAGCCTGATTTTCAATAACATCACTGTCAGACACTTCTAACTTGTCAGCCCTCAGCATCTGTCACTCAGCATCCATAGCTGACAAGACTGCTTAGATGCTGCTATCTCCATAATCACACAGGATTACTCCTTTGCTTTGGCATTATTTTAATGCTGAGACACTGAAATATAAAATGACAGTAGACTTAAGCAGAAGCTCTAGCTAGCTGCTGAGGGAATGGTATTTATATAAATGCCTTTCAGATAAACTTTTTCTGTTTTAAATAAGCACTTCCATCAATAGAGCATTTGTGAAAACGTACTGGAAATGGAAGGTGTTCAGTTTATCAAGAACTGTGTCTATCAGCACAGTATCCTCTTAAAGCGATGCTGGCATATTGCTTCCAATGCCACACTGACCCAGTTCCCTGACAGTGTATTTAATTAGCAATACCCGGACCTCCAAAAGATTAGGAATAGATTATCTGTCATATCAGAGCAGACCAGTCAGTGGCCAGCACCAGATATTTCAAAGGAAGGTGTACAATCCCTGTAATGGGCAATTATAGATAACCTACCTTTAGCAGAAGTTTCTTCCTAGCTCCCATCAGGCAGGGGTTGGTGAAATTCTGGTACGATTGAAGTCAATGGCAAAACTCATATTGACTTCAGTGGGGCCAGCATTTCACTCTTGGTCTCAATGATATCTTGTGACAGGGAGTTTGCTAGGTTAAATGTGTTGTGTAAAAAAGAGTTCCCTATGATCAATTTTAAATGTGTGGCCTTTCGGTTTCACTGGCTGTCACCTTGTTCTTCTATTATGAACACTCAAATGTTTGGACACCTATGCAAACACCTTGAGTCTACAGAAAGTGGAAATCTCATGCAATGTCTGATACTTTTATGTTGCCAGTCAAGCCAGATATGCCACCTTAATGGTTCTTTGATATTTCCACTTCAAGAGCCAGGTAGTGCAGAGAGAAACACCACTTTAAAATGAGTTATTCTGACATTTTGGAACCTCACAAAATTAGGTTTGGGTGACAATCCAGATTGATTCTAAGGGTTTATCTACACATGGAGTTATTCTGAAATAGCTATTGTGCTTTAACGTCACACCCCAACTTCATCCAAATTATCTTTCCAGTAAAGACAAACCCTTATTTTAGTCACACTGCTTTTCCATCCATATGATTAATCTGGAGCTTTAGGATGCTGCACCAAGATAGTGTTGTCTGAAGGCCTTTTACACCAAATTCTAAAGCCAATAGGGTACGAATCAAAGCCTAAGGGGCACTGTTGGCTGGTTTCTGTGGCAGGTCTTTTGGCGTGCTGCTGTGGGAGATCTTCTCATTAGGCTACATGCCCTATCCTTGCAAAACCAACCAGGAGGTGCTGGAATTTGTCACTAGTGGAGGAAGAATGGATCCACCAAAGAACTGCCCAGGGCCTGTGTGAGTATCTCCTCACCCTTAGACACAAGTCAAAGGCTAGTAAACATTCAGACTGGCTAATCAAAGATGGCTGCCACCCCCTCTACACCCAAAACGAAACAACTATTTACCCTAGGTTTTCCTCAGAGGTTAACACAAGTTTAAGTTGAGAACACCATTAATTGGTACCCATTTTGGCAGTCTCAGCAGAGAGGCCCAGGGCTTCAATGGAAATGGGAGACTCAGTTACACAATTACCTCATACCAGGGGGTCCTTCCAAAACCTGATTGAGGCACATAAGCAGGGCAAAGCGAGGAAGGTTATATTGCTATTTCCATGTTATATCTGTTCTGTGAATAAAATAACAACTTCAATGTTTAGTGCTGGTAACTTTCATCACCAATAAACTTCCATACAATTAAAAATACAGGCTCCAGTTCCGGGGTCTTTTACAGGCCTCTTTGCCACCAACTACCAGCAGATTTCCTCGATGTGGTGAATACTCACCTGCCTTAGGAAGCATATCAGGTGCGTGGCCGGAGGACAGAAAGCATGACTGAAGCAGGCACAGATGCTCTCCAGAAATTCCCCATTTGCCAGAAAATCCCCTTGGAACTATTGACAACTGGGCACAAATTAGAGCAGCACTGAGTAATTGAACCTCCCCCTCCCCACATGGCCCTAGGATCAGGGAACGTGAAAATGACATATGGCCAATTTTGCTCTGCCCCTTGGGTCCTATGCTGAGTGCAGTTCTTCTGGACCTGAGAACTGGGCCCAGAGACAGACCTGAAAAATGAATCCATATTGATTTGTGGTTTTGATTTATCATTATTTATTATTAATTGACATAATATGCATTTGTGTCTCAAGTTACCGGATCATGACGCAATGTTGGCAGCACAGTCCAGAGTACCGGCCCAATTTCTCCACCATTCTGGAAAGAATCAAGTACTGCACACAGGTACTGGTCTTTAGGATTTAAGTTTTTACTTGTTTATGGCATCCAGATCATCCTATGATACAAACATTATCACCCAAAACAGAGGGAATGGATTGCTCTGATTGGCTAATTACTTTCCCAATTCTCTTTGTGCTTGGCCTATACTTCAGCTAGAATTTTCGTTTGTGCTTCTGTACATCTATCTCATCTCACCTACCTCCACCCCACCAGCATGCATACAATCCCTTCCTGTGAAAAGTGTCTGCTTCCACCTCCCAGATCATTCAGTAGTGAAGAGTCTTTGATTTGGGGCTCTGGAAACCTTTCCATCACATCACAACTTCTAATGCCCTTACTTCACTCTTCAACAAGTTTTTTCAAACTTCCATGAAAGTCACAGCTGAACTGGCATGGAAGAGGGGGGTGAGAGGCATGAGGGGTTGATAAGCTGCTAGCCTTTTGCTGCTGGAGACCTGGATCTAAGCCTAGTTTAAGAGGAAATTATTAGATGTTGGTGATCTCTGTCTACTCATTAATATCAATAAGGCATCACAAAATGGCAGCCTGTGTTCAAATGAAGCCCTAAAATGAAATAAATGTTGGCAAATCATAAGCGAGGTGCACCATCAAAATGGTGCCTGGCAGCTTGCACAATGCATGGCTGCACTACACACAGCTGGCTGGCGCTAACTACTGCTAACATTATCTCACTTTTCTGAACACCTCCCTGAAAAAGTGTGTGGAAAAGTCACAACTGGGCATGCTCAGAATGTAAAATGTGATTACTGAATCCTTTGTTTCAGGACCCTGACGTGATCAACACAGAGCTGCCCATTGAATGTGGACCAGCATCAGAGGATGAGGGGAGCGCTGTGATGTGCCCAAATAGTTCCAGTGGGATGGTCCCTTTCCTGGTGAACCCATCCCTCACACCTCAGCTGGCTCCCATAACATTAGAAACCCATCATGCAGGGCATAAAGCTGGACAATGTCCACAGGAGCTGCTGGTGGAGAACCTTGGCAATTGGACTAGCAGAGGTCCCAGCCTACCGTGCCTCACTGATTCCAGCAGCGGGTCATGGTTCCAACAGACCTCGAACCAGAGGCTGGAATCAAGCAGTCAGCCGGCACACAGACCACACAAAACCAAAAACCTTTGGAACCCAACCTATGGATCCTGGGTGATGGAAAATATCTGTCGCTCCTGTCCCAACGCCAAGCTCAAAGCAACCACAGAGCGAGAAGATTCAGGTTTTGATGGGAACTACAGCTCCTCCCCTAGTTCTCGGGCATCTCCAGCCTCTCCGAACAGAAGCCACTGTCCTCACAGGAATATCGGTGGGATAGAACTGGTGAAGCTCCAGACTTTCCCCTGCGGCAATGTGAATTATGCATATGATGATCTCTACTATGTCACTGATCGGTCTTCGGCTTTGGCAGTGGGTAGAGCAGGTGTGCTGAGGAGCTCCAGTCTGCACAGGGATGGGAAGCCTTTTTGTAAGCCAGAGAAAACATCAAGAGAGAGGGATTCTGGCCTCTCCTTGTCAGACGACCTGAGTGTTACACCTGTATAACAGGAAATGTTCCTCCAAAGGTCAGGACCAGTGGCGTAGCCACCTTTTAAGAGGAGGGGGAGCAAACCTAAAAAAAAGGACGCCCCCCTTGGCTCCTCCTCT